CCCCAAAACCCCAAAACCCCAAAACCCCAAAACCCCAAATCATGAATCCCCAAAAGATTAATAATCCAATATAACATTTAAAAGCTATGGAGACCTACAACCAACCTTCTTGTGCTACTTCTCAACTCAAAAGAACCAAGTTAATTGAACTAGAGGTAAAGTTGTTGGCTGCAGAACAGCATTTCCATCAGATGAAGAACACTTTTGATGAAGATTACCTCTCTTTAAGCCTGTATGAAGAAACTTATTATGAGGTTCACTTTGATGAGAAGTATTCAGACTCTGTCTTTATAAAAGCAGCAAAAGGCCCACTAAGATTTACAACAAGCAAGCAAGAAATGAGGATTTTATGTGATAATAATGCGATGAAAAATAAGAACTTCAAGAGATTCTGGAAGTTGGGTAACTCTAAATTTGAAATCTTCAAGCTTTGGCCAAGAAGGTTCAGATATTCCATTCCAAATATAAACCCATCTCCAATTTTCCCTGATTTAATCAGGGTTCTTTGCAATGTGACAAGAGAAATGACTTTCACTAAATTTGTTTTTGATTGTAAATAAGCTTGTAAGTATTTTAGCAGCCTGTTCTCAGAGTGATCATGCATTTTTCGCGCAATGTAACATTGTTGGTCGTAAAGTGACTACTCAGATTAAAGGACACTCAAAGCTTCAAACACTTAGGCTCCTAAAGAGAGGCAATCATCACGATTACATGTGGGAACCAACCTATGTTGATAAATTTCTCCACTGAGTATCTATTTGTCCATGCCAAACAACTTTAAAGAGTATATTGCTTGAAAATTTGAGACTAAATACCCAAGATAGTATTAACCTTAAAAGCAAGTACGGATTTGACAATGCTGAAATTAGGATAAGGAAACTTTCCTAAAATGAACATTGGTAAGAATTTATCAGGTTTCCATTAATCTTCAGGCTCTTCAACATGTATTTATTTTATCCAAATATTTTATTTCAAAATTAAAGAGATAGAAGGGGTTTTGGGGTTTTGGGGTTTTGGGG